TTTTGGAAAATAGCTGGAAATAAGGTCTGTGGTTGACACAAATTTAAGAGACGGATCACGTTTTGTTCTACGACATTAAATACATCAGCAGTGACCCCACTGGTGATTTCTGAAGAGTTCACGTGTCTGAAAAACGATGGTTGTTACCAAGTGGCTGAATAGGACTACAGAAATTGTAGAGGACGTTGTACGTCATTACGCCGAACACGTAAACACTCCTCTAAGTTTGTTTGCCCTGTTCTGCTTGAAAGCAAGTACCTGCCTCCTGCAAACTGTTCAAACAAACGCTTCAACTTGTACCATTTAGAATCTGTATGTTTGAATATCAATCTTAAGTTGGCGTGACGTTGAAGTCGTGCGACCCTGCTATAGTTCGTTTAGCATAACGTTAGCATTTTGCTTCTGGCGATTAGATTTTTGATTCGAAAATTAAAAGTAGGGTAGACATGTGGAGATTATCCGGCTGAACAAAACATGCATTTATCAAACAGGTTTGTTTTCCACAGACCTTATTTCCAGCTATTTTCCAAAATCCTGTGGAGAAATCCCATTCGCAACTTACCTCCAGGTAAATACGTCATCCCTGCACCACTCTATTCACTAGTGTTATTTTCCCTTTTGACAGATATTGCTGTGCTGTAGGAATGTAATGGTCGTAGAAGTTGGTTATCAGTATATTAAAACAAAAAAGAATGCTGTTTTGAACCATGTGCTTCTTGACATTTTTGATATTCCATGTAACCTTACCATGTGATTTGAGTGTTGCAACTTGTGATACATGTTATGTAATAATGTCAACCTGTACTCACCCATTTCAGATAAATCTGAGGCCTGCCTGAAGGTGAGTGAGAAGCTGCTGGAGGAGTGCACAGAGGGAGATCAGAAGGACACCAGCACTTCTCTAGAGTGCCTCAGATACATGAACACGACATCAAAGGACATCAGTCTGCAGCTGTCGGGGTACGAACATTCAGAGACAGACATTATACAGAGAACGTGTCTTTGGGAACCTGGTGATGCTGTGAATGTTTTGTTATGTGCTATTTTGTTCTTGTTTTTTTTCTTCCCCGAGGATTTTACTATATGGCTCTGTTTATGAAAGTCTTCTTTAAAGATATATTTATTTCCTATTTAGATAGCTGAAACCAGATAGATCCTTTACTTTTAAAGAACTTATCCTATGGCGCATATTCAAAAGGCAAGTTTATTTACATAGCACCTTTTCAACACAAGGCAATTCAAAGTGCTTAACAAAAATGAAAGACATGAATAAAAGTTAGTGCAGTGTAAGATATGAATAGTTCAATTAAAAGAAGCGGCAAAAAGAAAAATTGATCTATACTTTTGACCATTTGAAAATAAAATTCATTATAATAAAAATCATTAATAACAGTGAAATTAATGTACGCTGCCTACTATTTTATATTAGGCTTATTTTAAAGCTTCTGTCATCAAATGGTCCGTGAATACTACAAGAACGTCCTTGCTGAAATAAAACGATATTCTTGCTCAGACCACTGATATGTGTTTACAATACAAATAAAATACGACGTGATGCATACAGTTTGTTCTACTGTTACCGCAAGCCTTCTTTTGGTGGAGTGCTAATGAATTGTTAGGAAGTTTGGAAAATGTGTTTCCTCACGTGAGAATCTGTATCGCCTATAGTTGACTAATCAATAGTCATCTAACCAAAGGAGTTGATTAGTGGAAGACAGCATTTTGTTTTGTGACAATGAAAACTCTGACTTTAGGCTCAAATACCTTGCGTATACCTTTTGTGGGCGATCCATTTGGTTTCATTTTTATTCACACATTGGTATTTTCTTCATTTTTCTAGCACATTTTCAGAGCTCCTGGAGGTGTCTTCACTCGTCTGCCGCCATACAATAAATGTCCATCAGGCCACGGAGGAGGAGCAGCTCGGCCCTGCAAGAACCCTGAAGCTCTATTGCCCCAAACCGTGAAGAATACCCCACAGCATGGGATACACGGAACAGGCACTTTAGATACCCCCCCCCCCTCTCACACACACACACACACTCAGATTTCCCCCGTTTGCATGTACATGTACTTTTTTTCGTTTGTTTGTCTGTTTCTTATATACTGCTTGATTTCTTTGTAGCTGTATTATGATATTAAACGTGATGCATTATGACTGTTTAATGTTCGGTACATTGTTCATAAATACAACAACACATATAACATGAACAGTCAACATGGGCGTACAAATAAGAATCAACTCAAAAATGGAAAACCTTTTCAAGTTTTGTTTAATATACCTACATAAATCTGAAAGGAGTCATGGTTATTGGTTAACTTATATGTGACCCTTATTGTTCAAGTGAGATGGCAAGACAATTTGAAATGTTTTTCGATTTATGTTCACAACAATAACACATGTATTCAATAAGATTTGGGAACAGTGTTAAGTTTGTGTATTTGTTTTGTCATCCATCCCTAGCTTGTGTTTTCCAATTGAAATTAACATTAAAGTGGCTTGTTTGACACAAAGATCTCAGTCTTTAACCATATCCATCTTAGATATAGAGCATTTTTGTTTAATTGTCTTATTTACGTACCTAAATAGCATTCAGTGTAACAACATTTAAGTATTACCTTGCTTTCCATGGGAACAAAGAAATCACTTAATATAAAAATACTTTCAGGGTCAAAAAAAGTCTGATTTTAATACATTTTAAGATGAAATAAAGGGTGGTCTTCCTCTTACCTGTCATTTTAACATTGCCAAATTCCCATACAACTATTCAAATGTTTTCAACAACCTTTTAAGTTTGCAAGTTGTGTTCATAACTTTCCCCACAATAGAGTCATAAACTATCGCGACTGCTTCCGGAAGTGACGTAACACCAAAACAGCATTTTAATTGGCTGATTCTGGAAAGCGACGGTCGGTCTCTTCCAAAGAACCAATGAGCCGCAGGAGAGCGCCTCGTCGCATGTGAGTACATGCACTTTATTTCACATATTTATTAAAGACGTCATTATAAAATGTGTCCAAAGGCAGTTTTACTATTGTATCTTGACCCTTTGCATTTGTATAACTTACATATTGTTTGATAGTAGTAACAATATTCGACGATATCTGTGTTTGCTAGCTGGCTAACTTCGAAGCTAATGGCTAACCCTTATTTACCTTTAGATATTCAACTTGCAGCTAACGTTACCTTTACCAGTCCGTTATAAACATCTTAAACCTGGTTAAATCTAGCTGTTTTATCCTTTGTTTCATCACTTTAGAAAAAGCAGCGAACACAATGTAAAGATCTTAGATAGAGCTATCATGACAGCAGTGATTACACGCTTTGCTATTTCAGATTTAGTTGTATTAAAGAAGTGTATGGACCTGCTTTAACTTCACCCTTAGATTGTTCGAGTGCAGCTAAAATGTAAAATAAGTGTCTGCTAATGTGTTAATTCATACCATACAAATTAACAGAAGAGATTAAGGGGGAAAATGTGACCATACTAGCAGAATTTAATTTAGTTAAATATGAATGATTTTTGTCTATTAGGGCCAAGACAAAGATTTAAATTAACTTTTGTGTCACCAAGCCACTCAATAGAATACCAGTGGATGTGTGTGTGGTGCCTGATGTAAATCTAGAAGCCTCTTGAATATTTTACCAACATTTTGCTGGCCTTGCTTATTTTGTCCCATGGCCACCAAACGCAAGGAGAAGCCATTCTTTTGTATGCTTTACGTTTTAAACTAACAACAAAACTCTCTTCCCAGCTCTCTCTCGCAGAGGAGGGATGCCCCTGCGGGAAGAGAATGGAGACAGAGGACTGAAGAGCAATGGCGAGGCAAAGCCCAGGTGAGAGAGGTGGAGGAGGAGGAGGAAAGACAGGAGCATCATGGGAAAGAAAGCGTGCCCAGGGGAACCTGCCAGACCATGTGTCCCACTCGTGAGCTGCAGGACCGCCAGCTGCAGAAATGCCTCCATCGCTTTGAGTTGTTGGCGGGCACAGAGAGAGATCGACGACCCAGAGGAGACCCCCTGCGTGCTGTCAAAGAATATTCCAGACCAGCAGCTGGGAAAGACTCCACAAACTCCTCTGA